ATGTATATATTATATCATAAACTAGAAATCTCTCCAAACATTCTTCCTGCACATTTCAATGATTGAGATTGTACACTTCGAACGTGCTTGATACACTTCGCTTGACTAGAAGTGTGCAACATCTTATTAAGTGTTCAACTACAAATTATGCGGGACACTCGATGAAAATTGGTCAAAAAATTGCAGTCGCACAATGACTCGGCATCATCGTGGACCGAGAGGAGCGTCAGTCCCGGCAGTGCAGTGGTCAGCGGCGCTTCGAGGCCGCAAACGCCGGCGTTCCCGGTGCATCCTCGAACGCCGTACGTGAACAATTCCTCACCGACGGTCACGTTCGCGGCCGACCGTTCCTACAGCACGTCGAACACCAGCTATAACGTGAACAACAACAATAATATGCACAATATTGAAACGACTGGGAACAACAATAACAACAACGTCGGGAATTACGCCAACGAACGAACGATCTATATCGAGGAACGAAGAGAAGTCTCGAAGGAAACGGGACTTCCACCCAAGAGTCCGACAACACAGAGGTAGGCAAGCCATTCCATCATTAAATTTAATATTAACACGTTTTTCGTCCCCTAGTTAATACAAATAACGTTTGAGCCTCGAAGAGCTTATGATAAAATTACACTTTGCTAAAAGTTTTGAAAAAATTGAACAATTTAAGTCCACCGTATACCATGATTAAACCTGTTTTGTACCCTGAATAGTGCTAATAATTTATTTTTTAAAGTTAACTGGAGATTCGTCATCGGATAGTATCAAAATTCTTTTAATTGATGATGAAAATTTCTCTTTTCATCGGACATTGCTGTTAGGGCAATGATTATGACACAGAATGATATTCGTGATTCTAGACGCTTGAGTTTTCCGGCAAGCGGGTCACTTAAACAAACGCATAACAAACGATGGCCGCTCACTAACCAATCGGCGTCGTTCGACTATAGGTAATATATTATTTGAGAGCACTGGCAAGTGATGAATTCACGTTTCTGAACGATGATTTCGCAGATGCGCTGTGAATGTTTAATGTCGTGCCACTAACCGTTTGTATTGGCACACCTTCGTTGCAACTGCATCGTGATGGAATTATAAATGCACCCGAGTAGATAAATTACGTACAAGATAGCGTTTAAAAATGTAATTGGATTTTGATCGGTGCAGTTGCAACCGTTTTGCAGATCGATATATTGACGAAAAGAAAGCGGAAGAGCTGAAGTCACGCATAACTCGTCTGTTTGCACCTGTCGAACTAACAAAAGCTCGAGCTTCTTGCATCGTGAATCACCTTAAAAGTATAGATACTATCATGCAATGAACGTACAAACATCATCGAAGTGAAAAAGAAAAGATGACAGAAAATTAATAATTCATTGACAGGCTTCTTATTAATGACGAATGAAAGAAGCACTCGACATCGCTGATTAACATGTATAATAATACCGTGCACTATCGTTTACTCAGTGACAAGTATTCTCTTTGCAATACGTGTACATAGCCGTGTGTGAATAGTATTTAGGTAAAAAAGAAACGATTGTAACAGATGTATCGTGCAATTGTATTTCTATTCTCTGTCTCTCTGCCTGCGTTTCCTTCATGATTGACACATTCCTGTCCTATTCCCCGATCTTTTTCTCTTCTCGTTGTATGTTCCACATTTCTGATGTTTTCTCACGGCGTACACCTTGCACGAATCACGTGACAACATACATATACGCACAAACACGTACGTACATCTACACAGAAATCACAAAACTGTCGCGTTTGCCTGCACACGGAAAACAATCCGATTCAGAATGCACTTTATAACGATGCGCGTTATTGTTTCCTTGTAGCAAGGACCGATCTGTTTCTCCGATAAACGAGTCGATGATGCAACACCCACAAGCTGTCTCGCGCAGTCCTGGTACTCCGACTCACATCGAGTTCGCCCAAAGTCCTAAGGTACGTGTGAATTTGGACCATCTTTTAACTATTGCACTTATATTATGTAATGATTTTTTTTATTTATTTTTTAATCTAATTGTGACAGGAATTGTATGAAGATCCAGTGATTGGTTTTCAGAGTGCCACTTCGTATACTTCCATAAATAGCGGCGGCCAATCATCTCCTCAGGTCCAGTATTACGGCTCGAGACGGTCCAGCGTTCATTCGAACACCGAGCCTCAAGAAGTAGCCGATGCGCATGTGAAATTTGTGCGCGACACCAGCAGAATCTGGTATAAGCCGAACATATCTCGAGAGCAAGGTGTGTACTTAATTTATTCTCTTCAATTTTTTAAGTAAAACCGAGCTGCTCACATTTGATATTTTACAGCAATCTCGATGCTAAAAGATGCAGCGCCTGGAACATTCGTTGTCCGAGACAGTAATTCCTTCCCAGGTGCCTTCGGACTCGCTTTAAAGGTGGCAACTCCACCCCCAGGCGCCCCGAGCAGCCCCAGGGACCCGTCTAGCGAGTTGGTTAGGCACTTTTTAATCGAACCCACCTCCAGGGGTGTCAGATTAAAGGGGTGTGCCAACGAACCAGTTTTCAGCTCCCTGTCGGCATTAGTTTACCAGCATAGCTTAATGGCTATGGCTCTGCCTTGCCAGCTGCTTCTCCCTGAACCGGAAGCAGCGGCCCGAGCCCTCGACTCGCCTGGGACGAACAGCACGCAGCAACTGCTCGCGCAGGGTGCAGGTAATAAAAATTCTATAATATCTTTAATTATACTTGAACGCTTGCAATTCTTGTGCGCGTATTTATGGTTTGCAATTTCCTTTGTTAGCCTGCAACGTCTTATATCTTTTCACCATGGATACGGAGTCATTGACGGGGCCTCAAGCCATCAAGAAGGCAGTGACGACGATGTTCGAGCTAAAACAACTGCCTGTCGCAACCATCGTCCATTTCAAAGTTTCGACCCAGGGTATTACCCTGACGGACAATGCGCGCAAACTGTTCTTCCGCAGGCATTATCCCACGAATAATATCAGTTACTGTGGTTTGGATACGGAGGAACGCACTTGGAACTTCGCCAGCGAAGATACTAGCCGACCAGCCAGTACCCAGTAAGTAGATGTAACATGTGATCATTTTTGTTATTTTATCACTTAACTAGATTTATTGCATTTATCGTAATCATATTTATTTTTTCAGTCGATGCTTTGGCTTCGTGGCCAGAAAACCGGCGCACAAATCAGACAATCAGTGCCACGTGTTCGCCGAATTGGAACCGGAGCAACCGGCCACGGCCATAGTAAGTTTTGTGAACAAGGTCATGATGGGCAACTCTATAGCGAAAGCTAACATCGTTTAAATCCGCCGCTTCGTCGCACGTGCTCGAATAACGGTTTCATTTTTGAGACCTCATGAAAACCGATGGAAGAAAAGAGAAACGAATCATCGAGAAAAATCGAAGCCGAACGTCACTTACCGAAGAAAATACCGAAAGACGCTAAATAATTGATTCTTGTAATAGGTCTTCGTGCATTTCGTGAACGTAGGGTCGAGTCTGTAGAGAGCATGAACGTTCTTCATTATTGTAGAAATTAACGATAAGAATTGAATTGTTATTTTATTGAAAGAAGGGAAACAGTGAGATATCGGAAACTCGATTCCATCCCCGTGTCAGTGATCAGACGATTCAGAAAAGAATGTTATTATTGACGATCGTTACTGTTGGTTATTGCGTTAGCGTATAATAGAGTAATATAAATGGTACACGGAGCGAAGTACAATGAAGCTGGTCAGAACTTTACGATTCTCTTCATCGTAACCTATAGACAGTCGCCTTACGTTATAAGGACATTGAATTAACAACTGCTACTTTATACCAATTTTTTACGTCTACAATTAAGATCGTTCCATATTAATTGAGAACAGAAGTAAATTTCATTTTCGATTGAATCTACTTCCATGGGGAGTGAAGTTACACAACGCAATTATTGTACTTCGCTTCCGCCGGAAATTAATTACGATCGATATGCACACGAACGTACTGATAGCTGGTAGGCATAGTTAACGATTATATGGACCGTGCTCTATGCGCGAATCTCGACGATCATCGCGCATTCGAAGCGCAAACTCGCGAGTACGTGTCTCGACCGCGAAAAGAGTAGTTACACATATGCATGTACCCTGTGTATCTCGACAACGCAAAACGAAAGCAGAAGATAGTCGAATAACTATTATATATTAATCACGTTATACTTGGGACTCTCGAGTAATGTTTATCGAAGGAATGTTACGTCGTTGCGGAGTGCTTGTGCCTGAATCGTGGCCCGCAATGTTTCACGATGATACAACGTTACGAATAAAACGTTCTATAAATGCCTGTAAATAAGTTAAACAGAAAGTAAAGTGCCGACTAAAAAGGCACTCGTTCATCCGAAGAGAAGAGGGGATTGTGGAAGAATATATAAAATAGAAGAAACGAGGTGGTAAGGAGAAACGATTCTCCATGTGTCAGCGTGACGGAAAATAAACGATACTCGAAGAGGAGTAAGCATCACATTTTGTTTGATGACCACTCAGTAGGTTCTTGCCATTTATTCGTCCTCGCGAGCGACCTCCTTCGTACGCGAATCAGCGAAGTAGGATCCCATCGACGAATATGCAGTCAATTATTACGAAGGAAACAGTTACATGTAATTAATGACAATACCGTGCCACGAGAGGATCCGCGATAAAAAGAATGAAATGTTTTATCGCATCCTCGACGCCGTAACAATTTTCTTTCGTTCCCCTTTCCGTTCTTTCTGCACTGTTTTCAATGTGTCATCGAGAAGATCGGTTGGGATTTTAATTAAGCTTCCTAAGATAAGAGAAGCGTTTGTTAGACACTGTGCTAGTCAAAATTCGACGCGTATACTCGAGCAGAGAGAATCCGACGTATCGATCCCGATGTCCCTACGTCGCGGGGCTGTTGCGAACCGCTCGATCTTTCTTCTCGATCCCTACCCCACCCTTCATTTCGTTATCGTGGTTTTGTCTTGTATGTATTAATTTTCGTACATGTGGAAAGCTGACTAACAGAGTAATATTAATTTAACACCAGTCATTATTATAATTATTAATTATTTACTTATTTACGCTCTATTATTACGTACGTTCACGCAATAATTGTACCGTCGCGTGCTGCAACGGTACGCTCTTATAGTTGTAACGATAATAAACCATATTCGCAGCGTAATACCGAGTATGTACTTATTTCCTACCTTTTCCATTTCTAAGAAAATGACAGTAAAAACGGCAGAAACAATTTCAGTCAGTCTAGTTTTTCAGATACTAACTACACGCTCTTCTTACATCTAGAACAGTCTTCGGGCAAAGTAGGATACTCTCTCGTTATCTCACTTTTTTTATCTGTGAACATCGTCTTGTTAGCAGCGTAAATTGCATATCACATAATGTTGCAAAAAATATCAGATCGAAAGTAAAAGTCGTAATGTTGTACTATGTCAGTCACAAAATATTGTAGTCAAATGGGATCAGACAAACACGGTAAGTAGATTACAGACTCTCGGTTACCGTTAATGGATTAACGTGGAACGAGCGATAGCAAAGAAAAAAAGTATTACAATATTTTTTCTCTATTTGCTTCCGGGTATAACTAACGTAATAAATAAAACAAATAAAAGAATATTTTTCTAATTATTCAAGTTTCCTTTACTTTAAAAAATTTCCTGAGTGCGAAAACAAAATTAGAAAACTGACTTAAAATAAGCTTATAGTACCCTTTATTTGTGCAAGGACATTCGGTAAAATTGTATTCTGCGAACACCAGGACCTCCTAGAATTCCGTATGAATCTAACGAACGCAGAATGCCATACAGAAATCCCGTAAGCCGTAATGGGTCACCGAGGGGCATTCCAAGTGAAATTGTTGTTTTTCGCGTACGAGCAACAAGTCTGGAAGACTGGTTCCGGCTGAAACCAACGAGATCAGTCAACAAGGAGTCTTCGAGACGGTCACACATCCTGGCCTGATCCAGGCCGACCATGGCTGTCGACTTCAAGTCGATCCTGCGCCTCGTGTTCGGTTTATCAATGATTTTTATTATGAATCGGGTCATGGCTCGACCGGATCGCGGTGATTTTGAATTTCTTCCTGGAAGAAAGGCTAATTCCTCTGTGGGAAGGGGTAACTGGACCGTCGATGAAAAAAGTCGAGAAATGAGGTGCGTGTTCGAAGAACGTCGATTAATACTTCAAACGAGATTCAAATAATTGGTGACATTGATTTTAGTGAACAGTGTTGTGAACTCTATTTCATTTAGTTTCGATTCTCATTTATAATGAAATTTTCAAAGTCCATTATAAATTCAAAATTCTTATAAATTAAATTCAAAAGAATTATAAATTCAATTCAAAAAATATTTAAATTCTTTGAAAGTAGTAGCTGTCACAATATATGAAGACTATACTGTTATAGGTATCTGAATGAAGACAATATGTTATTAAGCCTAATTAGCGGTGATGAAATGATCGATAAGGAATACAAAGGATTTTCTATTGTGGAAATGGTCGAGTCAATGTTTTCCGCCGTAGCTAACGGTATCGGTTCTTTCATGACCAGCATCATTGGTCCAGAGAAAAATCACAAGTCCCGGTCTGCGAGAGTTAGTTACAAAAATTATCAATTGATTAGATTATTGCCTAATACTCAAGGACACGTGAACGAGTTGAAGGAACTTAAGGAAACCGAGCCAGAAGACATCAAATTCTGGACTGAACCAATGTATAATAAGTATGTTACCTTGATAGTATAAAAAATTTTTAGCTTAAGTAGATTGGCCGTAATTTAAGTCAGTTGAAAATCAACATTTTAGAACAACGGACGTAGTCGTTTCACCGGATCTCATCTCCGATCTTAAGATGTTCCTCAAAGACAGAGCAATTGATTTTCAAGTACTCATACCGGATCTTCAGGTACATGATATTACATAGCGAAGGAATATTCTGTTAATACTGATTATATTGATACAAGGATTTACCAGTAAACAAGCAATTTAAACACCAGTTAGATATAATTATGATAATCGCGAAATTACCCTCAATTGATTGTTAATTTTAATCTTTCTTTAATTACTGATTCATCTTATGACTTTAGAAAATGATAGCTTATCAAAATCCCAAAATGACAAAGGAGCAGCGCGTAGATCTTCTTAGCACTCATGGCCATAGCATGACTTGGAAAAGATATCATCGATACGGAGGTAAATAAGCCACCCATTTAACTCACGATTGATTTTATATTTATTTTTATACGAATCTAGTATAAAAATATTTAATTTTCGTTAAAATTAATATAAATTACAGTGCGTATGAATTTAACTATAACTGGTGCACTTTTGCTTTTAAGATAGAAATAATAAATATTTACTTCCAGAAATTGTTAAATATTTGGAATATTTAGCCCTTCGATATCCAAAGATAGTTGAACTAATAACGATAGGTCATAGCTATGAAGAACAACCGATTAAGATGATTAAAATTTCAACCGGGCCTAACAAAAAGGGTAAAGCTAAACCGGCGATCTGGATAGATGCTGGTGAGTTACATTGCTCAATGTTATTATTTGGAAGAAACACGTTTATCCGGTTACCAAAGAAGAGTACATTAAATATATGTAGTATACCTACAAGCAGGCATATACGTGACTAACGTGACTGACATTTTCTCGTATCGAATTAAATGGGATATACTGAACGCAGTGAGTTCTAACGGTTTTGTTTTTGACATGAAAGCCTGATCTTTGCTATCCCAATCATTTTACAGATTTGCGTTTAAGCACTACAATTAATGATAATATATGCAGTTCATTAAGAAAATGTTCTCTTAATACAATTTGTAGTAAATATACTAAAATTTATTGTAAAAAGCAAAACACAAGAGCAAGAATATTACATACTGTTCTATTTTATGTTAAAAAATAAACGCTAAAATTCAAACATCTCACTGTATTCTTTATCAGGACTGGTTTACGTTAAAGATAAATTTTTTAATTTTATAACGATAAAAATTTTGATACCATTATTGTTGAGCCTATCTGTTTTCTTACAATCAGAATTTATATTATGTAAACCTAGAAAAAGTTGCATCAGAAATTTATATCTGCACTCTAGCTATCTAGCTTATATCTGCTATCTAAAAGTCAAAGTATAAAGATAGAATCTGATATAGATTCCACGACGATCATATGACCCCATTATAAAAACAGTTATTCCTGTGCGAATGTCCTGCAATGATCTCTCTAGTATTCAAATTATTCAACTCTTATTGACACGGTATTTTTAAAATTAAACAAATAAAATGGCCCGAAAACAATATAAGTGATGCATTTAATTTATCTTTTACAGTTGTTCTATACTACTCTACTATACTAACTATAATATACTTTTCAATATTTCTTCGCTAGATTCCAATTGATATATTAGATAAACTTTTTAAGTATACGTGGTCAATTTTTGGAAAACATATTTTGAAGAACGTAGAATTTCTATGCCTGATGTGTTCCACGTGATTCTATACCGTTACACGGCTCCGTCTTTTTTTCTCGAATTATCCTGACATTCGGCAGGTATGCACGCACGTGAATGGATCGGCTCCGCTGTGGCGACCTACATCGCCAATCAGTTAGTCGAGAAGAACACGAGTTACGCCAAGTTGCTGGACAATTCAGACTGGATGATCTTACCGGTCGCGAACCCGGATGGTTACGAGTTCAGTCATACCGGTGACAGACTGTGGAGAAAGACAAGAAGCAATCATGCCGAGAATCAAGAAAATAGCCGGTACGAGTTAGTACCCTCGTTTTCTCAGCCGCGCACGAATGCGTAGGGTATGATTGGGCAAAATGTGCAAAATCCACTTGAGAGGGTCAATTTTTATGACTGGTCACGAACGAAACCCAAGTTTCCTGTCCGTCAGCTTTACTGAAAACAAAAATCCCTCATCTCGGATCCGATTCATGTCTCAAGTGTCTCATGCTTGATACTATCTCTGAAATAATTACGAGGGGTCTACGTACGAAATTTCAGACCCAAAGAACATCGTCAAACATGGGGCATTGGACAAGCTTCCTCTCTTCTATTTTGCTAGGCGAGCGAGCATTCGTTTGTGAGATTTGCCAGTTTCTTTGTCCTTAGGTACGCGCCAGGTCGTAAAAGCGACCCTTTCAAGTGGATTTTACGAGGATGCGCTACCGCGCATTGCACAGATCTGTCATAATCTTCGGGTCATGAAGGTTTTTCTTCAAGACCATTGTATAACCGAGGGAAAAGATATAGCAACTGTCGTAAAACAGCGGGGTTGCCGTCCCTCACACCTTTAATAAAAGAGGTCATGATGACGTGCTACTGGGTTTACAGCGTGTTATCTCTTTTGTTAAAAGTGTGAGGGACAGCTAGCCTTAAGCCTGCTGTCTTGGTTAAATTATATCTTTGACCGATAAGTTAGTTTACATAGATTATCGCATTCCAGTTTTCTTCAGCTAGTAAACCACTACACGAAGTGGTTGTGGGGTAAATGCGAGGGTGTTGACCCGAATAGGAATTTCGGTTACCATTGGGGCGAGGTGGATGAAGGTGGAGCAAGCTTGGACCCTTGTCACGAGACTTATGCTGGCCCACGTCCGTTCTCCGAACCGGAAACCAAAGCGATGGCTGATTATATTCTGGCTAATAAGCAGAATATTAAGTAAGCGGATGTAACGATTGATACAAATTATTTTTTAATTAAATACCTTCAAATAATCATTTTTAATTCTGATTAGAGATTAGACAAAATTATCTTACAATTAGTGGTATCTTTTTTGAACATGGAATGTACCTAAATGATAGCAACTGTCTAAAATTAACTGTACGCAAAAAGTGTGGAAATGATTTAACTTTATAAAAATCAGTATAAATCTGAAAGACAATGGTTGCTGAAAAAATATTTTTAGGATGTACCTGACTTTACACTCTTACTCACAAATGTGGCTAGTACCGTGGGGGTATACATACTCGAAGCCGTCTGACTATTCCGAATTGTTTAATATGGCTAAGAAAGCGGTAGGGGCAATTTCAAAAGTACATGGAACTGATTATGAACTTGGACCATCGTCTGATCTCTTGTATCCAACGTCAGGTACGATAAAGACTAACATTCGTACTATATTTAGCTATTAGTGACGTACGAAAGTACTTAACTAAACTGATAGCTAATTGATTATTTTATTGATAACAATAGTACAATAGTAAGATAAGATCTGGATGAAAATATTCCTAACAAATATGTCAGCACTTTTTGTAAAAC